TTTTTTTTTTTTTTGGCTAATTTGATTTGATTTGATTTGCATCATCACACCACAGGATCCAGCCAGGACACGATTACGCACCATTTTCTCCTCGTTTTTTTACAATCCCGAAGGTGTCCGGTTTTCAAACTCAGGAGAAGCTAGAAAGAGGGAGTTTCTAGTGTGCCTTTTTTTTTTTTGTTTCCTCTCCCCCAAATCACTTTTTTGATTGCTATTAGCAGGGCTTTCAGATGTGGAAGTCTGGCTGGGTTTATTGCAAAGCCCTCAACGGGACGGAAACAAAATGAATCATGATAGAAAAAAACCCACGAAGCCGTCTCTTTTTTTTGCCATCTCAGCTCTTCCCCCACAAACCAGCCAACGGGGTCCGTTCTGGGGGTTGAGTGGGGAGGTAGCTTGGTCAGCACGGGGGCGAGAGAGGCTGCAGTAGGTCAGAGTTGCTGATGACTTCTCAGCAGAACCTCCTCAGAAAGGGTTTCATCCTAAGAGTGGCATCTGGAAGGCAAAGAAGAGCAAAGGATGTCCTAGGAGGGAAGACCAGTTGCACGCTGGACATGCACCCATGCTGGTGGTCGTTAAGATCTTGCTGTTCCCAGCAAGGAAATGTGGCGATTTGGAGAGTTGTGAAGTGGATTCTTTCCCCAGCTTTTGGGAGGTTTGGGCCAACACATGGATCCAGCTGGGGGTTGTTTTCCCTTATTGTGCAACCTTTGACCATAGCAAACTTGGATTTCACGTTGGTCTGGTGGATGAGGGACCAAAAGCGGACTTTCGAAACACGGGCGGCGGAGCGCAAAGTCTTAGGAAGAATTCTCCCACCTGATGCTTGTGGTTTTCGCCTCCTCGCCCGTTTTTCTTATCATAGCAGGCCCTGGCTTGGAAGTGTGATGGGCCTTTGGGGTGGGGTGGGGTGGGCAGAGATAACCAAGGGCTTCAAGAGAAGGAAAAAAAAAAAGATTGTTCTTCTAAAATTCCGCGTAGCAAAATTAAGGCGGCGGTCTCATTCGAATGGACGGGGGTCTTTGGACAGGAGGGGCTCGGCGTTTTCGTTGATCGCCGGAGACGGTGGGGAGGCTGAGGCTGTTCCCACCAGATTCTGGAAGGTTTCCTGCTGGTGCTGCTTGGCCCTGTTATACAGCATGACGCCGATCATCACCAGCACTGTCCCGATGGCCGAGAGGCTCGTGATCTTGTTCCCGAAGACAATGATGCTGAGCCAGATGGACAGGGCGTGCTTCACCGTGCTGGCCACACTGCGGGGGGAGGACAGGAAAACAGGAGGGGACTGAGAAGAATCACTTACTCAGGAGGTGCCTGTGTGTAATAGGAGGAGGTTCTGCTTGGATCAAGGCCCAATTAGATAGCCTCAGAAAACCTACTGCAAATCTATCTATATAAAAGCGAAATGCCGCTCACGCATCATCACAAAATCTCCAGAATCGCAAAGCCTACAAACTTGAAATTTGCCACGTAGGTTCCTCTTGGTTTCTAGGGGCTCGCTAAGAAAGGATTTTTCCAAATGACCATCAGAGCCATTAGTATTTCCTATATTATTATTATTATTAACACGCTCTGATGCTAAAGAGTTCTACTCCCTCTCCGCACCTGAAGAAAAGAAATCTCTTCCCAATGCAAAACACAAGCAGAGGAGAGGAGTTTCAGCTTTAATTTCACAGCACCAAGCAGCTTTAGTACAGAACAGTTGAGCTAAGCCACGCCCAGTCTCCTTGCTGTCTCCTTGCTCACACAGCAAATACTGTTTCCCTTTCCAAACAGCCCTCAACTCTCTCACACGCTGACGGGATGAATACCGATGGATGCTGGTAGGCAGAGGCAGATTTTTTCCCCCCCCCTTATTTTCCTCCCCAAAAACTAAGCCCGATCACATAGTTTCGTACCGAAGCACGGGGATCGAGCTAGTATAAATATATGAAAAGAGAAAAGAGAAACATCCCTTTGGCTGTTACTCCCCGGCTCTGCATGATTGTAAGCAGCGTTGCCAAAACAAGACAAGCTTACAGCCCTTGCCGTATGACGAGGGATGATGGGTACTGTAGTCCAGCTGCCCCAGAGGGTCCCGGGAAGGCCATGCTAAATGGGAGCTGGGAACCTTTGCCAACCTAGATGAAGCTACCCCATGGCTTCCTTGTAACTCTCCCCCTGAAATAGCTTCTTATCGGATGATCATTATCATTTTAATGACCCCATAATCCCATGTAGGGTGGAGTCTGGGACACTGAATGGAGCTAGCAGTACACTGAATGGCCGGATGCCTTTCCTGTCCCCAGGGCGGGAGTTTTGTTCGGCAGATATATTCTCATTGTGCCCAGAGAGAGAGAAATATCTGCCTCTACCTGGGATCGAACTCATTGTGAGGCGAGAGCTCCACCTCTGGGCCACCGCGCCACTCTTCCGCTTCTCGCTGGATAATGACCCTATGGAATTTCTGGGGTTTTCAGTTTTTACCTGAAGGTTACGGGGGAAATCTTGCCCATCAAAGCGTAAGCGGTGACACTTTGGAGGTGGAACAGCACTCCGTCCATCAGGAGCAACACCACAATGTCCTGGTTGTACTGGAAACTCCGCCCGCTTTTCCCAATCACTGGCATATCCTTTCCGGTGGGAAGAGAAGGAACGAAACAGAAGAGAAGGAGAGGGCAGGAGGTTAAAAGGGAGGGAGCGTCGGGAGCTCAGCTTGAGGGCCTTCTGGATGCAAAGCAGAGAGTCCTGCCCTGTTTTCTCCCAATTTTACATCATACGGCATGAAAGGCCGTAGGAGGGCTGAATGAAACAGCCCTTTATCAACCTGGGACTGGCAACTCAAAGCTGAGTGTTATGTCGTTTT